TGCACGTACTCTGACAACAAAATTCAGAGCTGATACCAAGCCATGCAACATCTGCTAAATTCACATGGGGAAAGGGAATACAAAAACAAATACACAAAGGGCACAGCTACTGAGATGGTAAATATTGTTTTTTCCATGCCACACCCAAACCAGAAATAGAGACAGAGGAGGCCTTAACAAAGCTTGATTCAGGTTCCTGACAGCTGACACCAACTGCTTGTTTTCCACTGAGCTATAGGTGAACGAGACTGCCAACTTCAAAAGCATGAATTAGCCTGAGACTTAGGCCTCTTTTACTATGAGTCGATCAGAAGTAGCTGAGAAGAATAGCTCCATGGAAATGTGTAGTGTTAAAGTCATGTTAGTGCAATTGCTATCAAGCTTGCTTGCCATAAGAGAGGAAGAGCGGATAACATTTTTTTGGAGGTAATAAACTGTCTGTACTGTAATGGGAAAGTGTGGATTCATTAGCTGGGCAAGTGGAGCCTGGATTGGCTGCCGGCTGCAGTGCCAGGACTGGGAGCTGCCCCTGCACAGTGGGCCTGGGTCCTGGTGGGGGGATTTCTGCACCAACTCGGCTGTGGGAAGGAGCACAGAGCCCAGAATGGAGAGGAGGAGATTGCTGGGTGGCTGTGCCAGGGAATAAGTGGTGCTTCTGCATCCCAAGCTGTTGCACAAAGCTCAGGTGCTTAATAAGGTAGATAAAACTGGGCACTCCCAAATCTACTGCTGATAAAACAGGGTTGCAAAGTAGCTGTGGGTTGAAGGGGGATGTGAGTGTAAGACATAGAGTCCAGTCTACACATACAGCCATTGCAAAAAATCCCGTGGGGAGGGTAGGTAGTCAGGGGAGGAGCAGATCTGCAGGCTGGTGGGCTCTCAGGGCTGTGGACATGTTGGCTCCACATGGCTCATGTTGGTCACTCCCTGCCTCTCCTGCCTGAAGGCTGCTGTCAGATGCTCTGCATCAGAGTGTATCATAAGAGCACAGCAATGCTAACCTGCCTGGAAAAGGGCCTTAACATCCAGCACCTGCTCTGAGCACAGCAGATTGGGCAGATGTGAAATAATATGTTTTGTTATGGTCTGGAGAGCTTCTGTCCAGCACAGGCAAACCTGTGCTGATGCCAGGCTGTTTCTGCTGGCAGCACTGTGCTGGGTAGCACTGGCCCCATTTGCATTGGGTTATTTCTTTTCTCCTGTCCTCTGTTGGCAGCGTGAGGATTTGATACTGTTCCTACTGGAACCAGTGAGAAGAGTTGCCAGGGTGGACTTCATACTGAAAGGGTTTTTAGTCACTGGGTGTGTGTTATTCTTGATATGGAGTACTCTTTTGCTTGTTATTCAGCTCCTTCAAAAGCAGATTGCCTGCAACAGCAAGGCATTGGACCTTGTTTACACAAATTCATACAAATAACTGCTCTTTAATGAAAAAACATAACTATATTAAAAAGCTAGAAGGGATGCAAAGTTGAGGCACATCAAGCTGGTAAGAGTAAGCCCCAAGGAGAAGGCTTACTCTTCCTTGCTATCCTAAATGGAAAAGTCACTTGTGTGAATTAATAATAGAATGTTCAACCAGAAATGTTTTTCTAACAAGAAAGCATCTGTGCCTTTGCAGCAAACATCTGTGATAAAAGTAAAAAAAAAAAAAAGGGAGTTAAATAAACTTGTATAAAAATGGCAGACAGGAAAAAAAAGTCACACAGAAAAAAACCAAAAAACAACTTGGGCCTTTTTCCCCCCTGCCTCCTGCTGTAAGTGATTAAATGTTTGGTCTCCACACAATGTATTCAGTTCTTAATAAAATTTTAAAGTTCCTCCATATGTCTAAGTGAAAGTGACCCAGAAGAGAACTTACAGAAAAATTGCTGCCTTCTTTTTTTCCCCTTTCCAGCAATCCCTTTTGACCTTTCTACGGTAACTCAATTATTTTGTCCATTTTGATATCAAACTTTCATTAAGTAAAATTACAATGCCTGTTGTACCTGTTCTCCTTAGCAATACATCCTGCTTGCCAGCCCTGTTCTGTAGGTCAGCAAAAATCAACAATTTTCATGCATCATTGCTTGGACATGAAGTTTTGACATCATGCTGGATTTGGACTCCAGCACGATCAGGTGCTAAATGAGGTGCTCCTGGTTAAGGAGCAGTGGGGTTGGCCACCTGCTCTGGTTAGCTATGCCCTCCCCACCATCACTGTTGTGTGGAAGGCACGGGCATACTCTGCTGACAGGTGATCATGTATAATCCTCAGAAAGGCAGGGTCTGAAGAAAAAATTTTAAGTTCCAAACAAATATTTATTGCCTGAATACATTTCATCACATTTCAGTGGGTTGAGTGTTTCCCCTCCCCTGTCCTTTGTGAAGCACTATCAGTGAAAGATGTAGACAATGTTGAGACCGTGTTTAACTGGATACAGTGCAAACACAGCAAAAGACCATCCCTTCCTGAAAGATGTGAAGAAAGGCTTTCCTAAGCTTTCATTCAGTAAAGTCTGAGAGCAAATACTTCCAGCAAGTTTGTTTCCTTGAGGTCAGGTACAAACAACAGTGTGGTTAGAGAAGGGCCTCAGCACTCACAAGTGTTTGCCTTGCACAGTCAACCACTTTTAAGCAGGCTTTCCAAGGAAGGAAGTCACGATTCCCTTCCCTTGAAGATTTGCCCTATCTTGCCACCTACCTAGAGCTGTGCAAAAAATCATCGGGTTGATTTTCAGAACTAGCCTTAAATGTGGTACAAGTTCCCTGAGATCTGCAAACTGGAAGATCTGGATTGCTTTTTGATCAATGCTTGTCTCAGCTTTGGCGTAGAGAGAAAACTATTCTAAACTTCTGTCAGTGTTTGGATTTTTGTATTTGCTTGGCTTTCTCCAAAATTCTGGGGGAAAATTCTCCCTTAGGTTTCTAATTGTCTCATTTTCAGAGAGAAGAACCTCTCTCTTCTTTTGTTTATGAGCAGGAAGTATTTGATTTGTGTGTCTTCCTTGTGAAACAACACTACATTTGGATCTATATTGATGTGCCAAAGCAAGAAAATAGGTTAGTTTGTTTCATCATTAAAGAATAAAGGGTAATAATTAGAGCAGTACAAATTTCCGCACTAAGAGTAAAATTGTGAAAAAGTATCCGAACTACTGGAGTGATTGTATTCTTTTCTTTAGGAAAGGAGTTAAGGAAGGCTCTCTCTCATTCAATTGCCACTATGTCTTTTCAGTCACAGAGTAACTTCAGTGTGTATTTTACCTTCAACCCTACAAAGACACTTTGTGTAATTAGTGTTCAACAAATGTAACTACTGAGCTACTAAGCTGGTTTACCATGACACATGCAACTTGCACAAACATTACTTGGAAGAGACTGGCCATGGCAGGCTGCTTTTCATGTTTTGGGTGCAATGCCTTCTCAGTGAAAGCCTGTGGTTGCCTGTTTATTTGGGGGTTGTGGTGTTCCTCTCCTGAGATATAGTAGCTCAGCAAATAAGCCCCTTATCTACAACAGTTTCTAAATAATATAGGCTTGTAAATAATAATAGTTTGTAAAAATAGTTTTGTAAATAATATAGGCTCAGAAGCCAGTTACAGTAAGCTCAGAGCAGTACTTTTAAAGTGTAGTGGTTTATTGCTGCACTCCCATCGGCACAGTTGGGAGCTACTCTGTCAGGACTTGGTACAAAGAGTTTGATAAAGAGACACTCACGGCTCAGGCTGATCTAGACTGTGCTTACATCTTAGCCCTCCTCAAAACGAGACCTACTATTTTTCAAGATGGGCACCCTGAAAGTGAATGACAGTGTTTTGAAGTGCCACTGGTAAACTTGTTTGGACTCAAATTTATTTTAAATACTGGTAAAGACAACTCCCTTTCTTTTCCCAAAGAAAGTTGAGAGCTTATCTGAAGAAAGTTGCTTCAGGTATTATTGTTCTCTACTTCTTTTAATATCTTCTAGGATTATGTAGAAACAAGAAAAAGAGATGTGTTTTATAGAAATTATAGAATGTGGAAAAATTACATTACTGGCAATCGACACCCAACCTCTGTAGGAGGAAAACAATAAACAACACTTGCTGCTTTTAAGCAGTGGGAATCCTCAGGATGTGGCAATCCTATGATGCACTAGAGATCTTTAGTAAGTTTGGATTGTGTAACCATCTAGAATGCAGTCTTTAAATTCCTATAGAGGTATTAAAAACTGAGTAATTAGAACACTGTCTGAAAACAATTACAGTTTACCAAAAATTGTCATAAGAAAAAGATCTTTGTGATAAAAATGTTAATGCTGTAGCCTGGAAAACTCCTTCACTGCAAGTAAACAAATTAACTCATGCAATATTGCCAGTAATTGTCAGTGAAACTTTATCGTGCCATGTGAAAACTGATTTGATTTAATACAATTTAACTTCTTAATTTAAAATAAACTGGTTTTAACTGACTTTCCTCTTACTCTGTATTTTGCTGTTTTATTCTCCTTTTATGGAACACTGTAGTACTCCCCATCTTTCATTTGCTTTTGTAAGCTTTTATTTTTAAATGTACCAAATTCTAGGAGAGGAATTTAGAAATAATGTAAGTTCATTGAGGAAGTCAAATCCATTAAAATATAGTAGGATTGGTGTGAGTGAAACAATGTGCAATTCATTATATAAGGAAGTTAGAAGAGTTCTAAATAATTTCATTTCAGACATCAAAGACATATTAACTCCTCCTTTACCCCACATACTCCAACTCCACCATTTCAATAACTAAGAGATCTCTAAAAACATTGCTTTTTAAATAGGTTTGGCTTAAAAATTGTTTTCTTTGGATTTTCACTGAGCCAACTCTATTTCTGAGTGTAAAAACAATCCTGACTCTACAACAGGTGGAACAAGTGAGATCAGATATTTTCAGTATAATGTTCTTAGTCTGTTTAGAAAGGCAGAAAACAGAATACAAAATATGCCCTGTAAACTGTTTCTCTAGAAAGCACAATATTAAAAGTTTAAAAGAACTTTTCCTACCTGTAGCTTTTGTGTGGATCAGGAAGTGTAGCTTTTCCTGATTACAATCTTCCATGGCTTAGCTTGGCTTCTGCATTTGAATGTTAAATATGTAAGAATGCCTTGTTTAGCTTGGGAGTTTGCATGACCTCTTAATGAGACTCTGTAGTTAGTGTCATTGGGTATTAAGGCATCATGTGACTGTAGATGAAAATAAAATCCTTTAAAGTTTGCATTTAATACTTCCTAGAATCTGTAACCCTTTACCTGCAAGCTGGATAAAAACCTGATAGAACTCACCGTTTTCTGGCCAGGGTTAAAAGAAGGAGAAGCGGAAGAACACGTGCCACGTAATTCCTTTCCTCCGGGACAGTCACAACGACCACAACAAAGCCAGAGCCTGTCAGTGTATTCACGCTGCCATTTGCGTATTCTTTAAATTAAATCTCCCTGTATCACAAACAGTGCTGGAGGGATTTGGCAGAAAGTTCCTCTGTTGCATGTTGCCTGGCAATGACATTTATTCCCCACTGTTTCGCGTGATTCTCTAAAGAGAAAATCAGCTCTGAGGTGTATTTGCAGGCATCGTGTCACATTTACCTTTGAAAGGTGCCGAATTTCCTGGAGTCATTTGGATTTGAGTGTGGTGTTTCCAGAACTGATAAGAAAGATGTTCCGTTGCCACAACCAGCTGAGAGAGTTTTCCCTGTACAAGGCAAGCACCTGGGTCATGCGTGATCTTTACCATATGTCGATGTACCTGGAAACTGTAAAACAACCTCCTGGAAAGAACTGGCACTAAGACTGGCTGTGTCCGCAGCAGGGGGGGGGGGGGGGGGGGGGAATGTTTGCACTGGGGTGATTTGGAGTATGCAAAGGCAAAGCAGGGCTAACAAAGCCTTCTCGATAAGGCTAAATCCCTTAGGGTGTGGTTGGTGGTTTTATTTTATTTATTTCTTTATTTTTATTTTTTGTGGTGTTAAGCCTCATGGAAGCACTTAAATGAAGTTAGGCTGCTGTATCAAGTAGGCGTGCTGTTCTCACTGAATAACGCCGCATTTACAGTTGCCTCCCTGCCTTGCAGGGATTGCATCTTCGCTTTCCCTGTGGAAGGAGGGTGCTGGATTAAGATCACCAAGGGCTTGGTTTGCCCTGGTATCCTCTGCAGTGAGCTGAAGCCGAGGCTGTCAAACCCCTGTCAGCAGCGGGCTGGGGCAGGCCGGGCCCGGCCCGGAGCAGGGACTCGCATGCACCACCCGGCCCCAGCCTGGCGCTGCGGGAGCCTGCGGGAGCCTGCAGGAGCCAGCACACATAGGGGCCGAAACGGCATGTGCCAGCAAAGAAATCAATAAAAGCTGCTTTGGATATTCTTATTTTAAGCAGACAAGTAAGTCATAAAGTCATAAAGAATTGCCAGGCTAACATATCCACAGGTTGTGAGGGCAGGTGATGGAGGCGGGAGGTGCAGGGTGCAGGGCTTCCCCTTCAGCGCGGATCCGCAGCTGCGAGCAGCCCTGTGCTCGGACAGGCCTTATGGTCCTGCCCAGCCGGGGGTCACCCCATGGCTGGGCAAAATACCCAGCTCTGTGGTATTTTTCCTGTGGTATTTTACCATTGTTCTTGTGGCTGCTGGGCTAATGAGGTGGGCTAACAGGCCGAGAAACGTCCAGTAGAAAAGCTGTGTTTTAAGCCAGGAGGCCACTCAAAGCAAACACTGCGAGGCTGCGTTCCCCCTTCTCCTGATGCTTGGCATCCTTTTCAGACCCCTTCCATGGCTACTGTATTTTTTGTTCCACAGACTGTTCATTCTTGAGATTTCTCGAACCAGCACGCGGTATTCCTGTCGTACTAGAGCAGTTCTGGCCCAGCCCCTGCAAAACCAACCGTGCTGTACTTCTGAAACTATCGTTTTCTGTGAGTATGTGCGAACTGCTGGCGTCTTTTTGGGTCGATTGCCTGACAGGTTTTCACAGACGTGTCCTGCAGGAAATGATCACTTGTCTCACCAATCCATAGTGCTTGTTCAATAAGACGGGTGTAACACTTTTTCAAAGGAAAAGTAGTTGAGACATTCAGCCTTCAGAAATCCTCTTTTCCCTCTAATCTCATTCTTGTACCTTAGTTCACTGTTTTGGCTGTGGTTTTGTGGAGAAAGAATGCTCCTGCTGAGATAGAAGGCTGCCTCGAAAAATTGCAGCCTAAAAGGCTAACTTTATGACTTTATACGCTATTGTCAGTGTGATATTACAGTGGGGAGTGCTGGGCAATTGACTAGCAAGCAATGGGATAATGTAGACAAATGGCAGCAAACTATCCAGCTGCTTTGGGGATGTTCTGTTTTCATCTGTGCTACAGCATGTCTGGATTTTCGCTTCAAGTCCCACCTTGCAATTCTGTGTATTTCACTTTAAATTTGCTAACTAGATCTATTTTAGTCTGGAAGCTTTCTCACATGCACTGAAATGCATGTGTAATCAGGGATGTAGTAGGAGAGCAGGCAGATGATTTTATTTATACAGTACTATGTGGTGAAAGCTCTGACAGTGGGAACATGTGAACATGCCTTAAATCCATTTTTGTATATTCCCTGCTGAGGCTGGAGAGGAGCCCAGTGAGCTATCACCAAAAGAGCAGGTGCTGCACATGGAGAGTGTACCATGGCTGGGAACACGTCGGGGCTTTGCTGAGTCGGGGTGGGAGCTTCACCCACCCCGGCAAGCAGGGGCAGCATAGGTCTGGGATGACAGGACAGCAGAGGCAGGGAGAGGAGCTCGGTAGGGACAGGTGTTAACTTTCCCCAGTCACTTGGGGAAATGTGTGATTTTAAGAGCATGTTATACTGGACTGGAAACATTCCCTCAGCTCTTCTGCTTATTGGCCTCTGTTTTCAAGTGAATTGAGCACTGTATAACTTGTCCTTGATAGTGAAAGACCCTTTTTCACAGAAGGGTGATGGTTCAAACTGCTCCTGCTGGAGAAACACATGATGAAAGGCCTCATCCTGCCTTGGGAAGGATTGTGATGACTATTCTTGCAGCCTTTGACCTTCCTGTTGAAACTGAGAATTGAGATTTTGAATTGGACCCACACTGAGAGCAGCAGTTAATGCCATAAAAGTCAGGAGACTACCTCAAAAATGCAAGGAATGGTGTTCTGTAACCAGACTGGAAAGGTAAACCACAGGCAAAAATGTAGCTCACTGGTCTCCCTGCAGCCATATGGTGATCTAGGAAGAGTAATGTCCATAACAGGTTACAAGAACCTGAATTAGGTTATATCTGTAGCATAAATACTTTATAATGATTATTAGTAACAAACCCTTGTTAATGAAACCTATCCAGAGGCCCTAATCCACACTTAGATGACTACATGATCAATTTTATGATAATATTAAAAAAATGCAGTGATTATATTAAAAATATGATTATATTAAAAAAATAGAATAAAAATAGATTTCAGAAGCCTGTCCTTTTGCAGTCTTAATATTTATACTAAATGAGGTATTTTTAAATCTTTAATCAACAAAATGAAACAATGCAGATTGTTGTTAACAGCTTTATGGAAGTGCCCCAGAGGACCCATTTTATAACATATTATACAGACACATTAATAATTTTTGACAAAGAGCAAACTCTCAGGGTTTTAAACTGAAACAGTCCCCTCAGCATACAAACACCATTTCAGCAATCAGTATTTGCTTTAAATTCTCATTACAAAATGGCCAATACTTTTGTTTCTGCAGGTAAAGGGCTTGAGTGTGCATCATGGAAAAATCAGGGCTGGGGAGCCACTGAAACCTGAATGCCTTCTGAATGCAACCTTTTCCAGGCTACATGTTAAACCACATTTTGATGTTATCTGATAATAATGTGAAACAAAGTCGAATGGCCACCGGCTGTTTGAAATGAAGTCACGGGCCATGCATTCCCCAGCTGTGGTGCAAAGGAAATGACTGATAAAAATATTTTTTCTAGCTGACCTCTGGCTTACCTTTGTCTGCCTAAGAATTTCCGGCTAATTCCCTGTTAAAACTTTCTTGCAGCTACAGCCTATTCCTAGAATCTTCTGTGTCAGAAAATACAGACTCCACCTGAGCTTGTTTATAGATGCACTTTATCTAAAAGATAAATGAAAGCTTTGTTCTAGAGATGCAAACAGTGCTTCTTAACAAAAAGTAAATTATACTATTCACTGTTCTGTGATTACATTATATTCCATTACTACCCCAAATCAGCCACTCTCCTGGCAGACAGAGGATTTTACCCTTCCAAGATAATGAAAGAACTAACTTTCCAGTCTTACACAGGTTATGGACAGGGAGTTCAGGGTCAAAATGCACAAGTCTTGCACCATGTTTGAAAGAAGGTGGAAGTTGCCTACCTTTGGGACAGGATCCTGGGAACTGTGGTGCCTCTTCCCATTGCTTCACAGGTCTGAATTGGAGTGGGGTTTCAGGTCCCTTTTCTTGTGCTTTATACTGGGTTGGTCACAAAAGCCTTCATGTCTGTTGATTTGCATACTGTCAGTATGCAATCTAGTCATAAACATCATCTAAGAAGGGTGGGTTTTTTTTGGCAAATCTTATTGTATTTTGAATGCTTGATTTAGTTAGCTGCAATGGGAGAAATTGGAATACTGGAATTTTTCCTTATCAGTAGTGTCCTTAAAAATTATTTATGTACAGACCAAAGAAAGCTGCAAAGGCCACATGTCCCTCTGCCAGAGTGGAATTTCCATGAAATTAAGGGGCACACACAAGTTTGCTTCCACAGTTTATTAGTACAAACAATGCATACACAAGACTGTATATTTGTTTGAAGACTGCAATAGATTTCTAATTTAACAACTCTGTAACAAAATTTAACTAAATTTGACATTTATGAAAATATAAATCTCTGATTGGGTAGGTTCTCCCAACAATACAAAGTTTACATAAAAACATTCAATATGATCTATTAGTTGCAAACCAGTTAGGAAAAATCATTCAAGTCACTTAATATACTATATTGGCTTGTACATTGAACATTCACACACTACATTAAGTTCTAACTTAGCATTCATTTCTTGGAAATTTGTGATATGGAATTCTGATTTAAAAAATAAGATTATTCTGTTTAAATAATTTGAAAATATTTCCATGGTGTGTCATCTTTAAGATATGTAAGTAGGGGAAATTTTTCTTATACTTTCAGATGTTGTCCAGTATATTTTTTTTACTTAGGAAAATGTAGGGTTTTTTTTTTTTTTACAGCATTTGTCATTATTTCACAATTTCTGCCTTGAAACTGGTAAAACTGTACAAAAGGCTCAGAACAGTTTCTGAAGCAGAAAGTGAAGGCTGTATGCATGTGAAAGTAAGAAAAACCCATTACAAACTGGACTAAGAAGGAACCTGTTGACAGCCTTTACATTTAGTGGAATATTTCAGCAGGTACACAAACAGTCTCAGTGTTTGGTCATTTGATCTGTATTTATCATGGGAAAGAAGAGAAACAATACTAAGGCAAATGTTATAAGAACTAATACATGGCATGTCTGAAAACTACCAGGATTACTTTGGAGACATAGGAGATACTTCAGACTTTCTTACAACAAAATGGACAGCAACCTTTTAACATAAAGAAATTAATGTCTTTAAGTGTTCAGCAGTAACACCCTTCTCTTTGAAAAATTTTCATTACGACCTGTACTAATACACACTATGAAGACGAAACATTTCCCTAAACCAAAAATTAAAACCCCAATCCATATACTTCCTTTAGAACTTAGGACTCTTATAATTTTTATCACAATACAGAAACCTGAAATCCCTGCATGCAATTTAAACAAAAAAGCTTTCATTCTGTTCATTGAGGTGAACAAATACTTGTTGCCTCACATGCTGACATGTTAGCAACTGACTGGCACCTACTCCTTTCAGCCCAAAGATTAAACCCAATTAAAAAGAAAAATAAAAGTAGGTATTTTTAAAATGATGATGGAATGTATCAAGTGTTCCAGGTTGGCAGGTGACATCTTGTCATTGCACCATCAAGCAGAAAAGCACATTTTTGCAAGTGGGTATAAAGTTGACTGTTAGCTATAGAGCCATCTAGGTGACTTGGAATATAAAATAGTGGTCTGACTTCTCACCAGTCACTTAGAGCTTTAGCTCTATTTAAAACAGTCTGTCAACCACAGATATTATCACCTAACTTCTAACTTATGTAATAGCATAACAATTTTGACAGTATTGCTAGAAATTTTTAATCAAGGCCCTGGTGAAATTGTGGACTAAACCTTGTATTCCGAAATTAAAAAAAAAAAAACAACCCTGCAGCCCATTTGCTTTATGTTTGCTTTTATGTTTACAGAAATGTAAGACAGGAAAAAACAGCTGGTCTGCCCTCTGCTGTTTCTATCTGTCTTCCAAGAAACGCACTGATTTTTACATGAATTCAGAAGACATACCTAAGCAAGTGTACTACTCAGACAGGCTCACCCAGATGGTTACTCAGTTGTCAGATGCAAAACTGTGTCTGCAATCTATGGCTGAGCACACTTTCTCATAGCAGTAGCTGTGTCTTTTGGTTGGTGTTGCTTCACTCACCTCAGCTTCTGTAACTGTAATGGGGCTATCCCTTGCAAATACTTCTGTTGATTCCCTCCAAATGCAGTCTGCAGTCACTTTGAAACTATAATTGTGACACTTTGGCCTAATCACTTGTGTTGCGTTGTTGAAAATCTGACGGCTGTTTGAAGTAGCAATTTTGATTTTCAGTGCAGCATCAACTCGATCCACTACAGTGTAAGTACCTATACTTCCATCATCAAATCCAATAATAATGTTTAAATGTCTCTGTGAGAGTGCAAGAAAAGTGGGAGTTTTATAAAGAGAACAGGCACCGATGTTTTTGCCATCTGCTAGCCTCATTACAATTAAACTAGAGACTGCACCATTGTCATCATCTTCTTCCCCACGACAACAAATGTACACCAGGTAGCGGCCATCGCGAGACAGCCTCTGCCGCCAGATGACACCTGGAGCGTGAACCACGCGAAGTTTTCCGCTGTGTAGATCAAGCACATTGATGTTCTCATCACCACGGGTTATAATTCCTAGCTTCCCATTTGGAGATATTTCAAAGTCTTCCAATTTTTTTAAGAAATTGGTAGGCAATTGTACACGTCTGCAGATGACTTCCTCTGTTAGGCTCCAGATGTTCACACTTTCAGTAGACGTTATAAATACTATAATATCTGGGCAGTCTGGTATCAACTTAATGTCCACAATGCTTGCACCATCATCACAGCAAAACTTCTTTGTTATACTGCCTGTCCAGAGACTCACTGCCAAAACTTTGTTCTTTGCCATTCCAACTACAAATGTATTTGCAGTTGTTATAAACGCATTCTGTAAGGCAACTAAAATATTGCAAACCCTATGTCCTGTAGCCAGTCGCCAAACTCTGGATGCATTTTGCTCACAGAGAGAGACTACAAACTGGTCATTATGAGTAATCATTAGCTCTGAGATTTTTTGTCCATTAATGCGAAAGATATTTTCACCGCTAACCGTGTGCCATACATACTGGCTGCATTTATCATCTGATGTAACCATTATCTCTCCAGAAGAGGTCAGCACACAGTTTTCAACAATACCTTCATGCTTGAACACAGCTTCAATAAATCCAGTGCTGAAGTTCCACTTGTGGACAGAATCTGATCCATCCAATGTGTATATTAATTCACCTCTGGCTGGCAACACCAGTCTTTGGATGGGTTTGCCAGATTTGTCAATATTGGACATAGCAGTTATGATGTCTATATCCCAGATAGAAAGGACACCACTGGTGGATAAGGATAGCAGCATGTTATGATGATTTGATTTAATTAGCTTGACTATAGTTCCTGAGATTTCCTGTAAGCTTGCCATACACTGTCCAGTATCTCTTCTCCAAACAAAAATGGCTGAGGTATTTTCCATTGAAGCAATTATACAGTTGCCATTTTTGGACAACACGGCAGATATAAAGCGCTCATTGTGTTTAGCTCTAAACTTTTCAGCCACCTTCCACACACGAGTGTCAAGAAGTTCAATGCTGAGAGCCTTACAAATTAAAATTGCACTTTGGTCTTCAGAAAGCTCTATGCTGACAACTTCGCTGTCTTCTCTTCTGCAGTCAAAGTCATCTGTAAGCTGGGGTTTTGCGATTTCCTCTGTATTCCAAACAGAGAGGCTACCCTCACTGTCCACCATCACCATTTCTTGGGCTGTGTCTAAAATGAGAAGGAATTTCACAAATCCACTTGAAAATTCAGAGGTCACAGTGGTCAGCTTCTCTCCACTGCCCAAGTGGAAAATGGTTGCGGTGTTCAAATACTGCCCGCAGAATGCATAAATTCCATCTGGAGAACACTGCACACAGGTCACTTCGTACCAGCAGTGGAAGTGATAGAGAGGCCAACCGTAAAGCAGATCTATTACAGTAACATCTTTACTGGCCTCCAGCCAAGCAAGCGCATGGTTGACCGATAATGTAAATCCATTTATAAAACTGGAGTCCCCTGCAATTCCACAGTGTTTTGACCCCTTAATTTCCACCTCAGAAAGAAGACAGGAATTTATGTTATCATACACCAAAAGAGTGTTGTTTGTTGTAGCTACTACAAGATACTTTTCATCTCTACTAAGCTTCATCCCTAAGATAACAGATGGAGCAGTTGTAATTTGCCTTAGTAACTGGCGGGTTTCTACATCCCAAGTGCTAATGGAGCCATTTTCTAAAGCAGCAATAATTGTGCTGGGATTAAATGTAGGCAAAATCTCAGTGACATGCATGCAGCTGGATGACAGTGGCAGGCGCTCGGGGCTGTAAGTCACATCCATGGAGGAATGCAAAGGGACGATAGAGCAGTACTTGGGTCCATCCTTGTCACATTCTAGGAGGAGATGTCTGAGTTTGGGCAATGAACTTACTACTGGGAGAAGTCTCTGCTGCAATTCAGCAGAGAGTGAACCTGGGTATTTTACTACTTTGAACTTTATACTGCGGAGGGTACTGGCCAGAAATTTCAGCTCCTTTTCTTGAGAGTAAGTGTAAGCTAGTTCTATGTCAGAAAGTGCTTTATCAAATTGCCCTATTCTAATCATGGTGTACAGCCAGCTGAAGTTCATGATGACTCCGTACAGAAGATCATCAGTTCTTCCACATCTCGTTAAGTGATGAATGAGCTCTGTCATTTTTCTGTGATTAATAAAAAAGATATCAGGTTCCAATGGGTTACACTGAAAGACCCAAGGCTGATCTGGAGCCTGCCTGTCAAAAGCCACCTGATCCATGCAGTGCTTTTCATCCTCATTCATGGCTCTACTGGCACGGTCAGGACAACCACTCAGATATTGGTCATTGCTGTTAAAAGGTTTTCTTCGTCCACCTGACCAAACACCAAGGAAATACTCTGCCATGACTGTGTGCATTTCACGCAAGTCTTCTTCATTGTGCAGGTACAATTTCTGGGCAATTAGTTGTAAGTGCCTATTTGCCCAAAGAAGCAGTGTTACATTTTTCACCTGCCGCTCTATTAAGTACCCCTGTAAGCCCTCCTTAAGTCTTGCAATGTATATATATGGAATTCTCAATGGGTTACTCTCTCTGACTCTCTCATTCAGTTCATACATAACACTGTTGTCAAGGGCTAAAATATCCTCCAGTTCCATTTCACTCAGGCCAGATTTGGACATAGTGATGTAGCCAAGTGCTCTTGACAACAGTCTTGACCCACACTTGTTTTCCAGTGACCAAAACAACTGCTCTATGCTTTCGTGGACAGTAACACAGAGGGAGGACTCATCCACATCCTTGTGAGATCTCCAGTGCCTGACCTCCCTGAAGGTTAAGTTTACAAACATAGGCAGTGTGCACTTGGAGAATGCCTCGTTGACATAGATTTGTTGCCCTGATGTTACTTTCCTTTTAACTCGCAGCAGCTGGTGTTTTAGTACTTGACTACACATCTTTCTGTCCCTTGCAGTTAACTCAATATAGTTGCTTTCTTCATGAATAAGGCACCTCAGTTTTTGCAGGATCCCATGCTTGTTTGGCAGTGTTGACAAAATTATCCGTACTGAACGTGGAAGGTGAATGGGAAGCCACCAGAGCTTTCTACCATCATCACTATCTGTTAGCTGTTCTAAAGCATCAAATATAATCACCAGTGGCCTGTGAAATGAAGACTCATTCAAGAGATTTATGAACAAGTCCCGAAGGTCATGAATCTTCTTTGGGTAACTTTGTACGAGGCAGCGATAGTTGACTGCTAGTTGTTCACAAATGCTTTGAAGTATATTCTTCAGATCTGTACTTGTTTCAGTGGATCCCAAAAATCTTATAACTACCACAGGGTCAGAATCTGGTCCCATCTCTTCTTGCAACCAGGAATAGGCCTAGAATATAGAGCATAATTTAGTTTATATCTCAATGAAGCATAGTAATAGAGTTTGTTAACAGTGGTAGTCTATACATGAATAAACATTTGAAAATATTACTGGTTGAATAGAAATCCTTTCACTGGCAGAATTCAAGGCAGGTGCACTGAATGAAATTCAGTATCATCTTTGTTTAGCACAAAAAGGCTCACATCAGCGGGGGCATGACTAGAATGTACTCCACAAATCCCAGGGTACTCCACAAAATCTCAGTCTCACCTCTGTAAGTAAGTAGATAGAGTCTCTTATAAAGACTTAGACTCTACACAATGTCACCTTTGGTCAGCCACACCAGCCTACCACCTAAACCTGTTTAGCATTGATTCTGACTGAGTATAAAAACATGTCTCTAGAGGACATGGATCAGAGTACAGATCCCTGGCCCATAGAACTACACTTTGCCCTGGCGTACCTGTGACTTTTACTCTAAAACACTGCCACAACAAAGAAAAAGTGTCTTAAGTCTTGAAGTTTTCCTGGTTAGAGCACTCCAAGCCAGTGAGGAATGTAACCTCTTTAAATCTTCCCAGCCTGTGCAGGCTAACACACACGGTTCTACATCTCTTCACCTCACTTTATGTTATTTTAAAAGAAAAGTATTTAAAAAGTGTTATTTTAAAAGTATTTTAAAAGAAAAGCAGAATCAGAGTCTCTAGGTTGACTTACATACTCATATACGAAATGAGATCTTGAGTTGCAACTCCCAATTTCATATACACAGCTAATGTGACTCCACAGGAAGTAGAGACAGCAATTTTAAAAAGTATTCTTCCCTTCTTCATTTCCTTCTGGCTGATATGGCTGTTTCCCAGCTCACTCTGCTAAATTCTCTGACCATCCTGCTGGGATCTCAAAGTTGTGACTGTCATCTGCAGAATTAGGTCTGGTGATACTAGCTTTGTCTTTTTCTGCATCTTGTCCTGCCTTGCACAAAGTGTTTAATTCATTTCCCTGCAGTACTCAGCTCAATGACTTAAACAGCATATGCCAGATAAGTAAGTACGGGTATTTTTGCTGCTTATTACATATAGATTTGTAGCCAGTGTATTAGAATAATTCTGGAATAGTTTCTTAGGAGAAAATGAGATGGCATGACATGGAAAGACATACTGCATTTGTGTTTAAGACTAAAACCAGAATAAGATGTTTAGATGGTTTTGGATTCATAGGGCCTCAGAGGAACAAGAAGGAAAGAGATCATTCTAATATACGTTAATTTAGAATATGTTGATTCCTATTAGACTTCTAAGAGCTTTGATAAACTACATTTGTTTTGGCTAAGCACATGATACAGATACGTTGTTATTATTGAAAGGTAATATTTTTCTGCATGTGTACAATAATATGCCGAATATACATGTTATTTTTATTTTATGTATCGAGGGCTGATAGATCTGTTGATAAAAGAAAGAATTAAACCAAGTTGGCCTTTACACAAAGTAGTGCTCTCAACATGACCTTAGTATGTAAGATACTTATTTACCTTCTTTGCAGCTTCAGCTAACAGGAGAGTCTTCCCTGTGCATGGTCCTCCATATATGATAAGAGGGTTAATGTGTCCTATTTTTCTAGGTAAAACATATTTGTGAACGATGTTTAATGCCTCACATCTATATTCATAAAAAGTGGAGTATGTTTTACATAGCGATGAGTGTTGAAGAACTTCATCATACAGCATATCTGTCTCCGTGTCAAAATTCTGCTGCACTGTAGCTTGGATTATGTCAATCATGTCTTCATAGAACTGTTTACCAAGTCCTTCAATGTAATGGCTCTCCACTTCTTGGGAGTAACCCAGTTTCATGTCACAGTGGGTGACGGATGTGTATACTCTCAGATTGGATGATGCGACAATGGTAGGAATGAATTCATCCCTGAGCTTGATCAGTTTCTCATGGGCTTCAGGATCTCGTAGAAACTTCCCAGCTTTATGTACCACGTCCATGTATTTTCCCATCTCTGGAATTTTAACAAAACGCTCAATGTTGGCAATTTTCCGGATGTAGCAAACACACTTCTTTAGGAAAGCTGGTGTTTGTTTACCCAAGGCAAAATCAAGTTCATCTTCAATAGCTGGGGATGAAAAGAGAACACAGAGTCTCTGTCAACTTTTCTATATAAACAGTTCAAGAACATGCCCTACCCCCAACAGGCAGACTCGGCTGCATTTGTTCTCTGTAAAAACAGAAAAAACAAACACAGAGAATTTGCTTACTGCTTTTGTATGGGTTTTAGTCTTAAGCAAGCACAACAAACCTTTTTTTCCCCCTTTAATTATATGAGAAATGCCAACAGAAATATATTTTCACGTTTGTGGAAAGGTTGACAGAACAGACAATAAATGAATACATAGAAATTGTTAGTGTGAACCTTACCAGAGGAAAGATATCTCTTTGCTTGGCTGTGTTTCATTTTTCCTTTCTCATACAGCAATTTCACAGCAGTCTTAAAAATCTTCTTAATCTCTTCTGATATATCTTGCCATTTGCTCTCATTCATGGAATTTGAAGAAGATTCCATCTTTTAAAAATATCCATAATTAAAAAGTAGGTGTAATACATACATATACAACTTCAGAAAGTAGAAGTCTAATATTCAAGGCCAAAAATAACATGGTAACAGAGACACACATACACTACCAAAAATCAATAAAAGATAAACATTTTATACTGCAGATGATCATACTGTATTCCATTTTAGAATTTTAAGAGTTAGCTCCTTGGAGCATTTTCTAAATCCCTAGTGTAGGCAGCTAATGCAATATTTTTCAAGAATAAGGCAAATAACACCTTTATAGAAAGAGGGTTTTGAAAACCAAGCCTGAAATAATAATAAAGCAGCAGCAATACTGCTAAAATTATTGCTCCTTTAATGAGACTTAACAATGGTAATAATTTAAACTTGCATCTCAAAACTGAAAATGGGGTTCCTGGTACCTGTAATTAAGTGCCTTCTATTAGCGACCATATTTTAAAAATGCAGGATTACATGTGACATTACGATCATTCATTCATTGCTATAGTAACACTAATCTTAACTGTCATCAGAGAGGAACTCTAATATAAATTCACTAATCCTTTCAGATGGTATCTTGCAAATGCCATGCTGGTGCTTTCTGTAAAGCAGCTAGGTTTCATATACTGCTGGTGAAATATTTCAGGGGTCTCCACTTTCTTTGGAGTGTGGAATCTCCAGGATGAATTCCCTAGCAACTCTTTCTTGACAGAGCTGACTATATTTTATTACTTTCTGTAAGTTTATGAGATGTAACTCTGCGTTACACCTTTAAGTTGCAACATCTATGTTACAGCTTTAAGTTATGAATATCACTTTTAAGTTATGAATATTAAGTCATTTAAGTAATGAACATATTTTTATTTAGTAACATGTTAGTCAGTAGCTTCAGGAAAAGTACAAAGATTTAAGAACAAAAACCCCCAATAATATAATATGCACTCAAAGTGAAAACTCTTTTAAGAACTTCATTTTTTGTACACTAAAATATGTCCTTAGGTATATATTGAATGTGTAGGAGGGTAGAACTGAGCCCTGAGAAACAGTTTTTATCATCATCAATTAAAGACAAATGCCTGTTTTAAAAATTATAACTAACAGTGTTGAAAATTCCTATGTTATAATATAGTTAATAAGTTAAAAGTATGATATCTGACTCAGGACAGTGCTAAGCACTTGTTTGACAGGTTTTCTTCTATGGGGATAGAAGGGAAAATGTGTATTTCCTCCACAAGTCCTGTTCACTGAAATCTAGCAAATGCACAGTAAAAAGCAGAAGAGCCTGAGTTCTCCATATTACAACATCAGGAAAGGGAAATCTGTACAATTGTCCCACTAGCCCTAACAGGGCACAGATAACCCAAGTTCACTTGCTCTAGCTATCAGAGAGCACATCAGTGCAGGAGTCGTGCTCCTTGGTGTTTTGTGGCTGCTCCTTCACCGTGTGCAGGAAAGGAGCACCACAGCAGCAGCTCTCAGCTGTGGACAGGGCTGTAGAACCTAAGTCAAAGACAACAGCAAGTGCCTGGCCTTGGGGACTGCCTGCCGCTGTAATGGCTGGAGAACATTTTGTGAGCAGGAGACTGTGACTTACCGTATTCTGGTAGTTCTTCAGCATTTCTGACTTTGGTCTGAGGTAATATGCTGGCGGCACTGCGTTCTCATCCCTGCAGTACCACTCTTCTAAAATCCTTGTCTCTAGCTTGGCCTCTATAGCAGCATCCAGGATCATTTCAAATTCTGCTGAGTCAACTTCCCCTGGTATTCGGATGTTCCCATACTTCTCTCCCAGTAGGCCCTATGTAGTTACAGAAAAGTAGGGATTAAATTTTTCTTTTTTATTATGCAAAAAGCATCCTCGGGATCTGAATTTCCTAAAAGTAAGTCTGGTAGTAGTGTAATGACTTTGAAATTACTAGGAAGGGAAACAGATACTGTGTGACAGGAATTGCTTTTAAGGGTACTGTACTGAGCTATATTTTACTATGACGACTTAGAAAATTTCAAGTAGATGCATTGTCTCTCATAGTACTAACTAGCAGTTAAAAAAAGGCATTCAAAAGAATGTAAAAAATAGCCAATATACTTAGCATGGTATTGACTCATGTATTACTGAGTTCCATTAGTCACAGGTTGAGATTATCCTCACATGCAAAAGCAAATTGACATAGTGGCTTATACCAGCAAGGATCAGTGTTGCAGAACCACAAGCTGCTTTACTGTCTTCTATTCTTGTTCTCTTTGCCCCAGTAGCATGCCACTGAATGAACAGTGGGGCAAGGGAGAAGCAAATACTGAGTAGTATTTGCTCAAAGTATTGATCAAACCTAATTTTCGTACTGCTGCATAAAGGTAAAGGTTTGTGGAAGTCAGTTCTTAAACTGGGGCACAGGAGACATTTCCCTTAAAAAATGAGGATTAAAATACTGGCTGTGGTGGTCTAAATGTAGTCTTTTAAAAGAAATTTATTTCTGTAGTTTACTGTCTGTAAACATTTTGTAAAAATATGATTGTAATGTCCTACAACTTCATAGACAATAGTGTTATAGGAAATTACTGCAAACTTTTGACATTTTTTTCAAATTTGTGACCATCAGATCAATTCTGATTAAATACTTGGTCCACAGAAGTCAGTGATAATTCTTACTTAATTTAAAATGTAATTTTTAAAATTTTTTTCCTCATTTAAAATGTATTCAGCAAAGATCTTGTGTTAATGAGAAGGAGTACTTAATGTGGAGAGGAACCAACAGTATCAGAATGCTGATTTGAATCAGAAAGATCTCTTGGTAAAGTAATGCTAATGCAAATAAAGCAGTGCCCTAAAAGTGTAAATGAGCATGTTTGTAAATAATATCTAAATATGCATTATTTTTAAACCACGTGTCATAATGAGAAGCTGTTTTAAACTCTTCCAGCAGAACACCCTGAAAATAAATAACTGATGATGATGATGATGATGATGAAGCCTGCTTCACTGATTGTAAAAGCAGGAAGCAGCAGGACACTGCTGAACCCAGCTATGCTGGCACACAGCACTCCAGTGGCCCACCATGCCAGGTGCTGCAGTCCCAGAGCAGACATCAGAGCAGTGCACCAACACTTCCTAATCCTTCCAGGGAAAAGCAGTTAGCTCAGACCACACCTGACATTGTGTCAACTTACCTGGCTGATTTTTGCCTGGAGCACACTAGGGAGAACTCATGAACTACCATGCTGATGGCAAGCAGTTGCCACCCTCCACAGAGCAGCACTGACGAAGAGCTGCTGGACAGGAACAAGTCAGTGTCTGCCTCCTGCTCAGGAGAAGCGAAGGAACGTAGGAATTGTGATAGTTCATACAGCCCAAGATCCAGTTTCTGACAAGTCACAGCATCCAAGTGCTTCAAGAAGCTTCTCCAGAAGGGAGGCTTTAGGGAAAGTTGAGTTTTCCTGTCTGCCCAATCAGATCCCACCATAGCTCTATTCAGGGCACACATCAAAGAGTCATGAGAATGGAATGAACGTGTTCAGCTAGCAGAATCATATAATAATAATTTAATGAAATGAAATGAAATAAAATGATACAGTATTTCTATAATCTAAATTTATTTTTGATTTGTGATCATTCCTGCTGCTAGTAGCTCCCCTCAGAGAGGGCTATGTTGCTTCACATAATGAGATAGCTGGGGAAAATTTTGAAGCTTTTACTGTTCTGATCTATTCATACAGCCCTGTAATTTTGGGATTCTGAAGTTGCAGAGGTTAAACAAAATGTAGTATTATTTTCCTTCTTCATTCAAATGCGGTTAATAACTTATATCATGCTGAATTGGAAAGCTTCGTCACATTCAGGTTGACGTAGAAATCTCATAAATTTCTCTCAGAGGAGCTTTTACCTTGTATAGAAATTATTACTTAGAATTTATTAGGCTCCACTTTTTCTAAATATAAGTCCAGTGGATTCAATAGACAGTTCCCTCAGCAAAGATCAATACTGGGCCCTTCATTAACAATACTAAAATGTCAACATTATTATGTCTGATTTTAATGTACTGCATTTAATCAACTAAATTTGTTTTAGAATTATTCTGTGTACTTTTCTGCTTCTCTGGTACAGGTTATGCTGTTCTCTCTTCACTGTACTATAGCTGAATAATGACTGGTTTTACTTCAAAATGAAATGACAAGACTTTTTTTATACCTCTCATCTGTCATTGCAAAAGACATTATGTAAATAATCTTGTATTAGGGATTATCCTCCTGACTACTTGAGCAAAACACAATAAAAAAGAACTTTGACATGATCCAGCAAACCCTAAAAAACAGTGCTGAGCAGGTGTATCATTTAGAGCAGGGTCATCCCAGGCACTGCACCGCAGCTGTGTTCCACAGAAGCTACCTGAGGTTCTGGTATTAATACCTGACTCAATGTAATCATTTGAAGAATATTCTAGTAGAAAATTTTATGAACTAGAAAACTCTTAATGGACTCACTCCTGTTCTTTCTGGTAACTTCAGACCAGCGTCAACCTACAGCCGAGTTTTACTGGCCCTTTAATGGAGGCATTGAAACAAAACTCTCCATTTTACTGGAGAGTACTCTTCATTTACTGGAGTTGTTTTCTGAAAGGCCTGTGGTATCACAGCCCAGGCTTGGAACAGGAGGCATGCTGAGTAAGTGCAGCTGTTTTCTACTGAGAAATTAATGCTCAAATGCTGGGTTACGCCACATAAACACACCAGGCTCCTGGGGAACAGCTCTTCACCCAAATGCACCTTCTCTAGATGCACTGCATGTTTTCCATTAGCAGTGGCACTAGTAAATTTAAAAAAAAGACTGAGGGATATAAACAGACTATATGTATTTGCGGGAATTTTAATCCACTGTTTGTTTCTAAGGCTGCATGACAGCCTTAGGATGGGTGCATTTGCAGGCACAGGCTGTGAAAACTGCATCTTCCCATGTTAGAGGTGAGGATTGGAAGTACCTCCTTCCCTTCACTCTTTTGGTGTCATTCTGGTTAAATTCCTATCTATCTGTATAAATGTAATCTATCAGGGTACCACAAAACCACTCAAACCTTAGAGGCCTCAATAAGAATCTCTGAACTTCACTTTTCCTTCAGGAGCTTAAGTGTCTGAACTGCATCTGTGTCAGAGGCTTGCAGCAGCCTCTGGAAATATTTGCCCCATCTCCATTTCTCTATACATTCTAGTAAATGCAGATTTCTTCTTAGAAAAATAAAGAAAAATGAAGCAACAGGATTGAAAGTAAACAGAATTTCTCACAATCTGCATGTTGTTTCATACTTAGTCTGTAAACAAGAATTACAATTTTCAGATCCTTTTGACATATATTATAGTACTCAACAGTAAGAACCCAAAACTTCAATTTGTGATAACAACATTGCAGCATTTTGATGATTATTATAGGGAATTATTTTTAAAAGGAACAGTAATGTTTACACTGTGTTCACTATCAATAGACAGTTTTATATGCAGGCTCGTGAACCAAACCTCCCACCTGATGAGTCATTTTCCTCTAATAGTAAAACAACAAATTAAAAACTCATTAGATTGAAGGTGATTGAACTGTATTAAGACGACCAGGCTGACAAATGTATAGAACCCTCCGCAATCATTTGTGTCTAACTAAACTTCACAGAACTAACACAGAGCAGCCTCAGCAGTAGCCTTGTTAGCTTTCACAGAATCACAGAATGGGTTAGGTTGGGAGGGACCTCAAAGATGATCTACTTCCAAGTCCTCAGCCTTGGGCAGGGACACCTTCCAACAGACAAGGCTGCTAAGAGCTGCATCCACTGTCATTCCCATCAGGAGTGCTTTGTTGAGGCTGAAATCACTATTAAATGAGGGTTAAAAAACTACTGTCTGTATGATGGGAAGTGTTTTTCATTCTAATATTCTTGGTGTCGAAAGACAGTAAAATTATAGGTGCAGTCACAATCATGATCAAAACGAGGACACAAAGAAGATTTAGATTTGATCTTGAGATATGAGGGATTCACACGGCATGTTGTATGATTAGTTCAGACATTATCACTAAAATATTCATGAATTCTGATGCCATACATTATCTTAAAGCAGAACAAGCTGATATTTTAGATATATTTAATTCCAGCTGAGATATATGGTGGTAATTTTAATAAAAAACAGCTGTCAAATAACAGCAAATTATATTAATTACTGATTGCTTTAATTAATCTTTTTTTACAAAATTATATATTGACATCTGCAAATGAAGACATTTGACAAGTCAGATTTGTAATGATTTATGGAGTGGTCTCAGGTACTTGACAACTTAAGAGCAACAATTTTTTTGCCATTTTGCCAACAGAGATCTGATCCAACAATCTTTTGCTGAGTTACTTGAAATCAGTCCTATGTCTTGGTCTTTGTGAAGACATGTGACACTGAAGTGCATACATATGGCCTCTCTGTCTCTTCTCAGACCAGTCCTGGATTGCCAGCTTTTTGAAGAATAAGCATTCAGCAAATCATTTTTGAAGGAATGAAATCTAACCACAGCTAATTTTTTAACAATATACTTCCTTGTGTACAGGACTAAGCACTCCTTATACAATTTGGTTTTGCAAGATCCATGAGAAATTAGAAGTATTTTTGTCCCCATGCGACACAGGAATTAAGTGCAGGGAATTAAGCCTGGCCTAGGACAGGTATGCAATGGTTAGTCATAACCACATAGTAGAAGCTGTTTTTTCCTAATTCTCAGCTCTGTCATTCTTACAGAAACCGCTCACTACTGAAGGAGGAAAGCCTTGACCCCTTGTGATG